AATCTTGAATAAAAGACATAAATGTTTTCAAATCGATTACATCGTTCGCCCTAATATAAAGTTTAGCTATTCATACTAAATAAAAAAGAAAAACTAAAAATTGATATTGAGTACATCACCGAATTTTGAATATAGATGTAGAAAAAGAAATAAAGCTTGCACCAAAATCGTCTTCTTCTTCTTCCAATCAATTTTTCAAAGCTTGAATTCCTTGATATTTTCCTCCCTTGAATTGTGCTCTTGATCTCTCGTTGTATCTTTGTTTTCTCAATGTGTGGAACCCTTAAAATTTCCTCATTTATTCTATATATACTCCCTTACACGATTTTCCAAAAATTGGAGTCTTTCTGGACTTTTCGCGATCCAAAACAACTTAACCTTAAAATTTGCGGCGCAGCGCAATGCCTAAGCGCTATGGTTGCAGGCCTGGGTACTGCATTGCTGAAAATAAGCAGTCCTGTAGCTTCTGGGTGCGATGAGTCGCTGTTCTAAATTCTGCGTCTGTTTCAGTATTTTTATCATAACTTTTTTTCCCGATACCCGATTAAGGTGATTTAAAATAAGTTGGAAATGTAACTTAAAGGTCTACACTACATTGCTGAAAATAAGCAGCCCTGTAGCTCCTGGGCGTGATGAGTCGCTGTTCTAAATTCTGCGTCTGTTTCAGTATTTTTATCATAACCTTTTTTCCTGATATCCGATTAAGGTGATTTAAAATAAGTTGGAAATGTAACTTAAAGGTCTACAACTTTTCTAGAAATAACTCTTTTTCAATTCGAATTTTTACTAGACCAAAGAAGGATTTCAATCTCCAGTTGAAAATTTGGAACATCCTTGTGCGCTTGAAAATTGATTTGTAAAAATATTTTGGTCATATTTCACTCATTTTGACTTCTAATTGCCTCCATTTGACCCCTAGCATTCTAGAATCTTCATCGTGAGTTTTGGCACAACTTCTGAATATTTGCACTTTAGTCCCTAAAATTGGGATCTTACCATTTTCTCCAATTCTTTATCAAACATAAAGTTTTACCCACGAAGATGTAATATAACATAAATTAGATATCATCAATTAGGGTCTCGAATAAATGTAGAAACTACACTTATCAAGTACTTATATGACATGCCACTTTGGTGACTAACAGGTCACAACAATTGAATATGAACATATATCATCAAGTTAAAAAAAAAAAAATGGAAATGGTAAGTTCTTAAATCGCGTGCTCTGAAACCATATGTTAGTAATTTGGTTAATTTATATATATCCCAATAATGTTAAATATTTAAGTTTTATGTTTTTTACGTATTAAATTACGACAAAGAAAACGTACCTTTAATTTTCTTTGAAATTTCGAGAGTTTGTCATTACGGTTGACTCGGCATGCATATTGCTTTTGAAAGTCTCCCACTTTAATTTGGCCTTTCCTTTTAACTATAGAAGCCAAAAGTGTGACATACCATCACTTGATAGTGCCCACCACTTGTTCTTTATTTCATTTCTGTGGGTCACAAACCCAGAAACCGTGTCACTCGAAGTAACTTCTGCAGGCTTTACGTGTCATTTGGTGGCAATTTATATGTCAATATCAACTTCCAATTCATATATATATATAAAGATTACACATACCAAACATGTGGTTAACATCCAATACCACTTCTCTTAACAAGAATAGAATGGTATTAGAAATCAAAAATCTCAAACAAACCATTCCATCGGTGTAAAGTTCAAACGAGCAACTAAACCTGAACATTGTTATCTCCAAACGAGTCACTATATTGATATTTTAATATGGAACCTGAAACCAAAAACTCGATATTGTGCCATGACCAATTTCTACGTCACGATTAGTTATGTAAATTCATTAAGAAATATTAATTTAAATTGGAGTGTCATTAACGATATGATTAATTAGTTGTGCCCTTAAAGAAATAATTTTATTTTAAATGTTGCAGTCCGTCGGTCCATCGATATACATAGAAAAGGTCACAATTAAATTTTTTTTCTAATCCATTATTGCTTTCAAATTTTCATGGACTTTTGATTATTAAATATTATTAACAAGTTTGGTACTTGATCGGCAGCATCTAGGATTAAAATAATTAATTTCAGTGGATTTGAATATAATTTTAGGAGTGACAATATTGAAAAACTTCATGTTAGTTGAGATGGTTACATCTCATCTATATATTCACTTAAATTATTTTATTTTCCTCGTCAGATTTATTTATTATGTGTCATACCAAGAAATTAATTTACAAAATTTTTTTTAATTAAAATGTCTATTATTACTAACAACATATTGTTTTGTGCTTCAAAATTTTGTCGAATTAACTCGAGCAATGGTGCAATCACCAGATTGCCCCTTTTTCGCCAATGCTGGATGATGATACCATCTAATGTTCTTCTTGGATTGGAGACAATGGTCCTTCTAATCTACTATCTCTATATAAAAGAACTACCTTATTCACCCCTTCGAGGGCGGCCGAGTTGGTGGAGCAAGTGAACGCGGAGACCAAATATCAAAAGTTCGAATCCCCTGCCAACACTTCATCGGTTGAGCCCATTGCACCGGACTTGTTTAGTGCGATTTACCTCTCATGTGTGGTTTGCGGGCTACTGCACATGGAGCGAAGTTTACCTGATGCGCACTCACAGTGGTTGGGTCTCCGCCCTTTTGGGGCGGTCGGGGCTCTTCGACAGGTAGCGACTGCAGGTTCCTACGTCAAACAAAAAAAAAAAAAAACTACCTTATTCACAATTCTCAAAAAGGGCAACAACATTCCAAAGAGAGAATTCGTCCAATGATTGATGAATAAAAGCCAAATTTATAAAAGATTAAGAACATGAAAATTGTCCTGAAAATTTTCATTTAGTGTGTACAAAATACAAATGGTTGGATATATAAGAGTAATATGTAGCTTGCGAGGAAGAACAAAATTAAGTAACCCAAAGTCATGGAACTTGTATATGGGTAGGGTCGCTCAGTCACTTAGTCTTAAATTTGAATCTTCGTATTGAGTTGTTTCTTCTTTTCAATGTAATTTTTACAGATGAGCGAACTTCATTGTCCTGAATTCGTTGGTTTAGAATCAAAAAGTTACTTGATTCTGCTCAAATTTGATGTGTCGCATCGTGCCTCACTTCTAGTCGGTTTACTTCTCTAGGCAAGGATTAGTCAAAATTATTTTGCTCGTTGAAAGTGTGAACTTTGCAGCATGCTATAACTTAATTTCAGTTTATGAAATCTTACTTGTAAAGAAGTATTTTTCAAGATCTTTACGTAGTTGAATCGCTTGCAAATACCAATTCAAATTTGCATTTTGATCACTCCCGTGGTCCAAAAACTCAATCACGATGGAAGGATTTCTTTACCCACAATCTAAGTGTCAAGTTTTGTGAGTCTTCTAGTCAAAATTGTGACTAATATAGGCCATTTTTTTTCACATACAATTTTCACCATTTTTCAGCCATCTTTTTCCTTCTTTCTTGATACAACAATTGTAGAGTCGTCATGGGAGATTGTGGGAAGTTAAGGATTTGAATTTAAAGTTCAAGCCACTCCCTCCATTATATTTTTAATATGAGAAATGTTATTTGTAATCGCTTATTATTATAGTCGCCATACGTGACACCTGTCGCGGTCAGTGATTTGATGTATTAATGTGGTAATTTTTTATTACTTTATGCATTAAATCATTAACCGACACATGTAGAACAATTACGGTAATAAGGGACTACAAATAACATTATTCTTTTGATATCTTGCAAGTCGAATCATCTCATATAGACAATTATTGACCCGTTTTTCAATAAAAAGAAAATGGTCAAGTAGACCTATTATTAAGAATGAAGATAGAGCAATAGGATAATAGGTTCAAGTGTAAAGAATGGAAACCACGATACATGGGCGAGAGATCGAGTAGGCCCACTATCAAGTATGAAGATAGAGCAATAGGCAAATAGGTTCAAGTGTAGAGAAGAATGGAAGCCATGATATAGGGGTCAGAGAAAAGTGAAAAGCATGCTCATGGTGACCAATTTAGTATTGGTACAAAAACCTCCAAAATATATGGTATATATAAAAAGGGAAAAAGTAAGGAATTTTGGCAGGTTTTGGTGATGGATTAGGAGGCAAGGAATGTGAATGAATGGTTATGTTGGAAGGGTGGTGGTGGTGGGTTTGATGATCATCATGCACGCGGGCAGCTTTTCTCTCCTCTCTCTCTCTCTCCCCNAATTGTCAAAGTTAATACCTGATTTATGAACTCTTCCCCTTTAATAACGATAATATCCTCGCGTTTATTTCATTATAATAATAACTTACATATAAGTTTCAAATGAGGGACAAAATCTATCTTTCCGATTCCTTCTATTTTCTCAAGTGACATAACTTTTATTGATATTTCTTTATTTTCACATTATTAGGGTACCTGAATCTCTTTAATTTCATCATAGTGTCTCTTTAATATCATCTTAACTATTTACTCTATTTCGTTTTGGAGATTTTTTTTGTCTTCGGAATTGATTTTTCTAATCATGCTACAGGTGACCAATGGATTGTCTTGCTGGGATTGTTTAAACCCTCTCCTGCAATTGGTATAATGATAGTAGACAAACTTCGCAATAACTATTACCTTCTAGGAATCAAGATATCTCCCTATCCTATCCTATGTCCTATCCTATCCTATCCTATTGGCCCAAACTAACTCCTTTCCTCTTAATTCTTAAATGAGAGAACCAGAGGTTTACTATTCATTTTTGTTACATTCATCTTCACGCTTCAATCCTTAGTCAATATTCATTAACCAGTTCATTATTGTTCACTAAATATCTCTCCTATAAAGGTGGCTTTTGCGCTCTCTCCCTCACTTCATATGTCTGCTTTTGGATGAGCTCATCTCTCCACAACGAGAAACCAAACCCTAATGTTTATATAAAATGGTGATTCAAGTCCTACATATTTGCGGCTTCGTTACCAAAATTCAATTGTAACAAGGAGCGCACTTAATCAAATTTTGGCATATTGATACAAGAACTGTTACAATTTGTTCTCATGAGTAGGAATATTATAACCATTAAATCACAAACTTCATGTTGCAAGTAGCATCTTCAATCATGGTGTAAAATAGATCTCAATTGTGATTAAGATATTCAAAGTGGTCGAAAACCTCTCTAACGGGGATACAAAGGAAATGCAAATTGTATTTTTGGGCTGCAAAATATATATTAAAAAAAGATACAAATTTACATATTTTTTACATTCAAAAGAGGCAAAAAGTGGATTTAGATATTCTTATTGGAGCAGAATGCGAATTTAAATATATCGGGATGATACAAAAGTGATTTTAGAGATACTAATTTACATCTAATTTTACATTATCATTGACGATGTTCTCGTGTCACTAATTTAAATGGGTTATCTGATTCTTGGCGATGTTCTCGTGTCACTAATTTAAATGGGTTATCTGATTCATTGTTTAATGAAATCGTAATATATTTATTGCGTTGAACAAACATTGTTTAGTGATATCGTTAAACAATGAATGAGAAGACTGACTTTGTCATCTAAACGGATGATAATTAGCCTTGATTAGATTACAATTCTAAACCTACTTGGACAACCTCCCACCCCTACCCCCTATGCCCCTACCCCTTCTCTTTCCCTCTCACACACAACCCACACGGTAGAAAAAGCTAATCCACTAAGCCCATTTGATGAAATCGACATCTTTTGTCCGACAACATAATTCTATCTACTCCATGCCAACTTCTATGTTTATTTAACAGCAAAACCAATTTGAGTCAATCTGAATCCCTCCTTGTTTCAAGAACAACCTCAAAAAGAATAACGAGGAAACAAATTAAAACACACACCACTATTCCATTCCTTCTCCCCATCGATTCCACCAAAAAGAAAAGTATATTTTTACTCAATCAGATTCTTCTCTCTCTAATTATACTTCTTGTGTTTGTACTAATTAAAAACCTGGCAAAATTCCAACTTGAAGATCCTCAATCTCCCCCACGCCCTCTTAACTCTCTCTACCCCTGCTAAATTAGTGTTAAAAGCACAACCAACCCACTGAAGAGAATCAAACAAAGGTTCAATTTTTATTTTTTTTGGATGTGGGTCTTTGAATAGATGGATACTTTGTTTAGACTAGTAAGCCTTCAATCTGATCAGTCTTTGAATTATTCGAGCAGAACTTCAAGCAGTTCTAGATCTTCTAGACAAAACCCTTATCACCAACACCAAGATCAAGAAGAAGGATGCTTCAACGTTTTCATGGATGAAGAAGACTTTTCTTCTTCTTCTTCAAGACACTATCATCCCTATCAACAGCAGCAGACTTCAAACACTCCCACACCAACCACCACCACCAACACTAGCGGTGGCGCCACCACTCCAACTCATCATCATCTTCCTAGTTATGATCAATCGGCTGATCAATTCTCTTCCTCTTTTGAAAATGACATAAACCTAGAATTTGCATCATCATTCTCTGGCAATAACAGCAAGTGGGCTTCTGATATCCTCCTTGAGACTGCAAAAGCCATTGCTCATAGGAACAGTGCTCGTGTTCAGCAGCTTATGTGGATGCTCAATGAACTCAGTTCACCCTATGGCGACATCGATCAAAGGATTGCTTCTTACTTCCTACAAGCATTATTTAGCCGCATGACCGACTCCGGTGATCGTACTTATCGCACTTTGATCTCAGCTTCCCAGAAGAATTGCTCTTTTGAATCCACAAGAAAAATGGTTTTGAAATTCCAGGAGGTGAGTCCTTGGACTATGTTTGGTCATGTTGCTAGTAATGGTGCAATTTTGGAGGCTCTTGATGGAGAAACCAAGCTACATATTATTGATATAAGCAACACATATTGCACACAGTGGCCTACTTTGCTTGAAGCCCTAGCCACTCGCACAGATGAAACCCCTCACCTGCGACTGACGACGGTGGTGGCTGGAAAAGGTGGCGACACCACCGGAGGTGCGGCTGCAGTACAAAAGGTGATGAAAGAGATAGGAAGTCGGATGGAAAAGTTTGCTAGACTTATGGGTGTGCCCTTTAATTTCAATGTCATACACCATGCAGGTGATTTATCAGAACTGAATCTAGATGAAATTAATGTCAGAGAAGATGAAGCACTTGCTATAAATTGTGTAGGTGCCTTACGTTCCGTTACAACACTCGGCAATCGTAGGGACGTTTTGATGTCCATGTTTAGAAGATTATCACCTAGAATTGTCACTATTATTGAAGAAGAAGCTGATCTTGATATAGGTTCTGATGGTTTTGAATTTGTTAGGGGATTTGAAGAATGTTTAAGATGGTTTAGAGTTTACTTTGAGGCATTAGACGAAAGTTTCCCAAAAACAAGTAACGAACGTTTGATGCTAGAGAGGGCCGCAGGGCGCGCGGTGGTTGACCTGTTGGCTTGCTCGCCGGCAGAGTCAATCGAGCGGCGGGAGACTGCCACCCGCTGGTCAACTCGTCTACATGCAGGGGGATATAGCCCAGTTTCATTCAGTGATGAGGTGTGTGATGATGTACGCGCTTTGTTGAGGAGGTACAGGGAGGGTTGGTCAATGGCACAGAGCTCAGATTCGGCCGGAATATTCCTTTCGTGGAAGGATCAGCCAGTGGTGTGGGCTAGCGCATGGAGGCCGGTTTGATTATGACTTGCACAATTCAAATGGTTTGTGAGTATGACGTGTGTTGCTGGTTTTTGGCAAAGTGCATGGGATTTGATTAGTTTTGATGAATTAATTTGGTGAAAAGGAGGATAGCACAAAAGGTATTATTGTTTGTTTTCTTTCAATTCAATAGAATTTCAAGTAACAAATCTTATTAATCTTGTTACCATATTGTGTTTTTCTTGGTTTTCTTGAATGATTGGTTTTGGTATGTGAATTTTGTTGAAGGATCACCTGACTTGTTTGCCATGGCGTACCATGTAATATTCGATATATTAATGATAAAAGGATTTTAAATTGTATATGTTGTATCCCTTAAGTTTTGAGTAATCGTGTCAATGATCAGTGAAGTTATTTTCTTACGGTAATAGTAACTCAAAATTCCTAACTATTACACTAATGGTCACTTTGTCAAAAAAATTAAACTTAAATCCCACGATAACAAAAGAATTTTAAATTATAAAGTTATTTTCTTCCTGTAATAATCGCTCAAAGTTTCTAACTGTTACACTAATGGTCACTTTGTCAAAAATTTAATATTAAATCCTACACAATGTCACTAAATATCAACATCTCATCGACAATGTTATTTATTATGTCAAGTCAGCAAGATTGAGGAATTCGGGATTTGGATTAAGTACTCGGTCTTGAATCGTATAGTCAGCATGGGCCTTTTTTTAACAATGACCTTTGTTGACTTGACTTGATAAATAACACTTTGAGTCCCAATTAGGATTTAGCGATAATATTTTGATCAAGTAATTATTATTGTAACAATTAGAAACTTAAGTTACTATAATTAAATAATTTCATCGATCATTAAAGTAATTACTTAATATTTGAATGATCATTGGCGTAATTAACTCTATCACAGAATCATTAAAATGCTACGTATTAAACATACGCACATATACTTTTTACTAAGAAATGAGAAGTCTTTATTCAATTAGATACAATGTCAATATCATTTGATCCAATAATGTTCCTTATATTATAAATCGAACTAATGTAATATGTGCATGCTCGTTCAACTCAATGGGTCAGATTTTAATCTGATTTTAATCTAAGTCAAAGTCGAACAATCAATATCAACCACATGTTTCATGGTTGAACTACATATTTCAAAAACTTCTATCACAATCCACTAAAAATCTGATTTTAATCTACACCAAACACTCCTAATAAATTACATGTTAGTTTGATTTAATGGAGTTGGTATTAATCATGATATCAGCAATTACAAGTGCTGACATGACAGCTACAAAAATTTTATTTTACATAAAAACTTGTTATGGTCGTTATCTTGTTTGGGACAATAGAATCTTAGGACGGCCGGCCGGGCGGCCATTGAGTTGGGTGATGTTTGGGGTTCAATCAAAAGGTGTTTAGTCAATACTGTATTATTGATTTAGTTGCCAACATATATTTAATAATACAGACCATTTAAGAAGGAAAGAGTAAGGTTTGGTGTGAACTTGTATCAACTTCTTGTTGACAAAAAATATAAAACAAACTTCGTCGATTTCATGGCATATTATTCTGTGAATACAATTTAGTCAGGTTTGATGTAGTTTAAAAAATTAATAAAAATATAAGTTAAAATCAATAGAAGATGTGGGCATCGGGTGGATCAATCCGGATATTTCAATATCCAGAACCCCCATTATAGTTCGGATATTTCGTAAATGAAATCATTTGGGTCCTTGTAATTATTAGAACCAAACCAAACCCGACCATCAATTCTGATTCGGATTCGGTTCAAACCTTAATATATATATTATAATACACATTAATAAGCATTTTCATATAGGCCATTTCGATACGTATACCTAACAAGCTACTTCTTGACAATGTTTGTGCAAAGGAGAAAATTTAACTGAAAAATCTTCAAGAAAATAAGAAATCCAGCTACATGACTCAAGTTAATGAGAGACTAAATATCAAGAAAAGAGGAGAAAAATAAAATATCAAGAAGTAAATTACAGATTGAGAACAAATGATTTTTTCTTAATAAATCTTATTTGATTCACAAGCGAGACATGCTGAGCCTATAACTTAAGTATGAACAATACTTAAATTTTTATACTCTTAAAAAGAATTGACAAAAAAAAAATATTAATTAGATATATAACTATGTAGTATCAAGAAATTGCAGTCCACACATTAAACTTGCTTTGCTGGAATAAAAATCAAAAAATGTATTTCAAAAGAAAATTCGAAATTGCTAAGACGATCACTTTGATTCACCAACTTATACAACAATCCAACTTTTGATTTATATAAAGCTCAAATTGCAAATATTAACGTGTATTAACATCTAAAATGCAACAATCTGACGTGGGCACAAAGTAGGAGACGGTCTTGATTTCATAGGGCTTGAATATAGATGTTTATAAAATTACTATCCAAATTAGAGTTTTTAGATTTTGTAATTTTTTTTACCAGCCTATAAATTATAAAAAAAATAAAAATTATGTTAAAAAATAGAGATATGCTACATGTACATAATTTGGATTACCTAAAGGTGTCCACCCTCTCACATGGGGCGGACCCCACATGAATAATTTTTTTTATTCATGTGGGGTTCACCCCATGTGAGAGGGTGGACATCCTTTGGTAACCCAAATTATGTACAAGTAGTGTTTTCCTAAAAAATAAGTTAAAATTAATTTTTAACTTTGATTTAGATTAAAATTTGAATTTTAATCATTGCCAAACATGGCTTGAGATTAAAATGAATACATACTTTGAATGTGAATGATAATATTAAAAGAAATCAAGTTGAAAAATTAAACTAGAGGCCAAACGACACAGCATTGGTCCACCACTTTCAAGATGGATTTTTGGACATTAATTTAAATATACTTAATTTATTGTGACACGCTGGTGTCGTAGTATTAAAGGGAAAAAAGTGTTACTTTTGGTTAGGCCCACGTAAAAAGAGAAAATATATTGTAGTGGGAACTTCTTTTTAGGGTTTCACATCTTAATCTTTTGATGAGACTCGTCCCCTCCACGTTAACATTCCCACTATCTTTCGACCTTTATTCCTTCTTTTTATCCTTTTTTTTCATTTTTTAATTATATATTATATTATAAAATTTTAGTTTTCACACTCAGAGATGCATGGCATGGTCCCTTGAACTTTCGAACCTTGCTATCATTACAGAACAGGCCCTTGTCAGCCTACACACATGGGGGTAGGGGTCACAAATTTAATACAATGGGTGGAGCCCGCCGCTACAGTTCTAAACTTTTTTACATTGACGACGACTGGCGGTGCGATGGGACCAGGTACAAGAATATCATAGTTTATTTTCCTTTAAATTGTTGATCATTTTTAAATTTGGATAAATATGCTGTGCAGTTGTAGTTGGGAACGTTTTCTAATAATTTCTTTTCTTTTGTTAGAAGCAATCATCAACTAATTATTACTCTTTTTGAGCATGGACGGACCACACAACTACTTGAAAAAATTTGAAACACAGAGAGAAAAAAAAGGGAAATATATTTATCGATGACGAGTCGAGTTGAGTGGAGTGGGGTCGAGCTCTCGATAAATTTAATTTTCATAAAGATGGTAATCATGCATGTAAAAGATTTGAACAATATACACCTAGTTACTCTGCAATACAATAAGGAAGAAGAAAGAATAATCGAAGAGCAAAAATATATGGTACAAAAAGTTATCTTTGAAAACCTTTCTCAATACTCACTCACTCCATCTATAAGGAACTCTCCATCTTTTATGCCAATATATTGACACCCTAGACCACAATGGGAACCCAAAATTGTACTCCAAAGGCTGATCTGAGGCTCCTCCTACAATTAAAGGCAACCATACATACCTGGAGTCCCTCAGGTCAGCTGGATTCCACCGATCGGCCATAAAAATAAAGAAACCAGGGATGTCGGGGAAAGGAAGCACGAATGTACTTTGAGCGAAGAATGTTGTTTGTCGAAATATCTTGCTTCCACCAATGCACGGGTTTCCCATGGTCTCCCATGGGCCCATAACGGACTCGGCAGCATGAGCAAGAGCCTCATTTGGGGCCCAACCAGTGCAGCCGGACGTGATCATGTAATATGTTCCACCATGTTTGAAGAGAGCAGGTGCTTCCCGGTGTTGTCCAACGAGAACCCTACTGACTACACTTGTCACATCAAGATAGTCTTCATTAAGCGGACCAATATGAAGCTCACTGTTATCCTCGGACGAGTATATAAGATATGCAACACCATTGTCATCTTTAAAGATTGTCATGTCTCTACTATCAAACCCGTGTGGCCGTTTACTGTAGAGATAATCAAAGGGACCAGTTGGGTAATCACTAACAGCAACACCTACTGAGGCTTTTGTGTAGTTAACGTCGTCAATATGCATCCACATTATGTATTTCCCAGTCTTGTCATTGTAAATAACTTTGGGTCTCTCAAGCAC